ATCATGTTATCATCATCAAGTACATTGATTACATAGGTGTCATGTAATCATCATCAAGAACAATCAAATTGATTAAATGTGAAATCATGTTATCATCATCAAGTACATTGATTACATAGGTGTCATGTAATCATCATCAAGAACAATTATATTGATTACATAAGTGTCATGTAATCATCATCAAGAATAATTATATTGATTAAATATGCCATCAGGCAATCATCATTAAATATCCACCATCATAAATCATCAAATTGAACATATGATATAATGTGCCATATCATGAATATTTTTATACATTTTGTGGACGTATATATATGTATATGTATATGTCTATGAATTGTTCTACAATTCTAGCGTGGTACCACTTAGCGGTTTCGCTGAGCGTGTAGTTTGTATTTTTCGTTGACTACACGTAGGTAACAAGAGGACAATGACGGAACCACTCCCGGAGGGCATTGAGTCAGAGGAGATGCAAGGATGGCAGGCAAATGTTGATCATCAGATTTTTAAATGTGTCATGATTTGAGTATTATTGTACTTCCGCATTAGTCTGAAAATGTTTTTTAAATGGATCGCGATCCAGAGTCTGTAAATTTTATATTTATAAGAAATTGTCATTTTCAAATGTCAAGCGAAATTTTTAATTAACTCTCGTTTCACCTTAATTCGTAAAATTCCAGGTTATACGGATTGGGGTGTTACATTTTGGTATCAGAGCAAAACGATTTTCGGATCATTGAGTCAGTATTTTCAAAGTCCTGCATCCGCATCCTCCTCGACATCTCTGCCCCGGGAAGGTAATCAACAAGTAAGTTACTATGGCATAACACACGTACTTAACTCATTGAAAATTTGCTTCCTTTGAGTTGCTAGTATCCTCATAGACTAGTTTGCGATAAAGTTTAGATTGCCTCACAATGTTCTTCGACGATCACAGACGACATCAGTAGATCAAGAAAGGAATTGTAAACCAGATAAGCGCGACATATACGTATGTCATAGTATGCGAATGGCTAAGTGAACGATGTGAATCAACTTCTATCAAGCCGAAGAATACGTCAAAGAAAGAACGTTCTTTAATAGGAAGTGAATAAATTCCCCAAGAGTGAATCTGTCGTTTTCTAAAGAACACGAATAGAGTCTCACAAACCAGATCGAATACGACATATGTATCGAATCTGAAACACATTATAGGGATGAAACTACATACAAACATTAAGATAATTGACTCGTTCGTATACCCTATTGACGCAAAAAAAATCGCAACAAGATGATAGTACAAAACAAGATGTGAAACAGTCACACCAACAGTGAAAGACTGGAAGATAAAGAAAAGGATTAATGTTTACATGGTACATTTTGATGTTGGAAAATAAATATTCTTCTGAAATGCACTGGCCATGCAGCTTAGAACGATATTTGTGACTAACGCATAATGTACATGGACAATATTATTTCAACTTGGAAATATTACAGATGCAACTCTAAGTCTAACCTTCCAAGATTTGCAAACTCTTCATAACTAGCACCAGGACCTGGGAAAGCCTTAGCAAACTCTAGCTTGTCCAAAAGCTCATCAACAAAGAAAGAAGAAATGAACAGTTTCCTCTGATTCAAAGCCATGAAGTTCTGCCTCACCGCATCATCTAGAAACTTGATTAGGTTATTGAAATAACCGTCAATGTTTAAGAGACCAATAGGTCTGCTGTGCAACCCTTAAGATGCCCATGAGATTAAGGTGAACAAACCTTCGATAGTGTCAATCCCTCCAGGAAGTACAATGAAGGCTTCCACAACATGATTTATCTCGAAATACTTATAGTAATTGCTGGAGACAGTGTACTCCGCACCATATGTTGGTCCATAGACCCCTCGTGTTGCTATATACCCTGGTATGAAACCTCTGACTCTACCACCATTATTATAGACTGTTGAAGCTACAGCTCCTTGAAGGCCAACGTTGCCTCCTCCGTAGGTAAGCCTGATTTTTCGCCTTACCAATTCACGTCCTAGATCAACCGCTGTAGCCATGAACCTTGGATTGCTACCAAGAGCATGACTACCAAGTAGACCTATAACGCCCCAAAATATACCCTAAAATTTATTGAATTAAATATTCAATTAAACAAAATTTGTTTTGATTAAAATAAATTGTTGTTGGGCTTTGGGCTGAAATAAAATATATATTGATATCAAATAAACATAATTGGGATAAATCTCATAGAGATAAATCCAACATTTTGATTTATTGTGTGATCTTGATTGAGAACCTGAGTACAGACCCAAATTAAGAATAAATGAAGAAATTGTTTATAATGTGAACTTTGAAATGATTTATTGAAATAAATCATGGAAATACATAATAAGAATTAAATGTGAGAACCTTTTTGAATAAAGGTCAATTAAACCAATTTTGACTCTGTCAAAGTCAACCACCCAAAAATATGATGTCAGAAAAAGTATAACGAATAAATATAAAAATTATATCGTTAGATAGAGTTTAACTGTCTGATAGCAACGGTGCAATCGGATTTCAATTCGGAGAAAGTTGGACCAAAAAGTGTTCCCCGAATGGGACCAAATTAGTCCCAATCAGGGACTTGCGTTTGGAATCGGAGAAATATCGCAGCCCGCTCCACTAGCCGCCCGAACAGGAAACCAGACATCACTTCGTACAAACTTTCTGTAACACCCTAATCTGTCCAGGTCTGCAGCCCCTTTCAGGTTAAAGTATTAACTTGGTAATCGTAAAAATTTAAAACATTTCAAACACTTTTATTTATCACAATAATATTTTTCATAATATAAACAGTACGGAGTTTTCAATATTGCGGAAGCTTAACAATCATAATCACAAACATAATTTATTTATGTTCTTTAATTCAAAACCATCACATCCATTCCGACAATCTCGCCTCCGTCTGCCTCCAGGATCACGTCACTTCATTAACCTGCATGTAGCAAATAAAACATACTACACGCTCAGCATTGAAGCTGAGTAAGAATATCTAATGCATCGAACATCCATATAAACTAAATCTAAATTCATAATCAAATCATTTGATA